TCTCTCTCTCTCTCTCTCTCTCTCTCACGCACGGCAGCAAAGTGCGCGATTGTAAGCTCCGCTCGGCACCATTCAAACAAAATCCCAACTTTCGAACGTCACAAGCCCCTCCCCCCTCCCCCCCTCATCCGTCATTCATACCGTTCACTCACCAGTCACGAGCTTGACTCGACTTGCCTCTTGACCACTTCATCACTCACGACCATTCCCGCTCGCTATTCTGCTTCACCGCCCCCACACCGTTCTACGCAGCCTGCCAATAGACACGCCCTCTTGCTGATCACTCACATCTGCTTGGAGTCAGGGCCGGCTTTACACCTTGCAGCAAGCAGTCGTGCACCCTGGTCAGCCAAGCCATCCACCTTCCTCACCTCTCACTTCTTCTCTCTCGTGACTCGCTCGATCTGGTCACCGCGCGCACACTTCACAAGCTGTACCCAGCGCTTCGTCGACGTCGACGACGAGTTTCTAACTGTTCGGCTCTCACATCTTGATCAATCAGGATGTCGAGCAGTGCCAAGTTCGCTGGCACTCCACCGCAGCCCACACCGGGTCATATGCCAGGTACAAGGGGTGAGTAGAATCGCCTTCGGGCATGCTCACACACACTCACTCACACCTTTTTCTACGCGTCGCAGGAAACTTGACTCCCTCACAAACCAGGGCGCTCTACAGGTTGTGGTCTCGATTCTTTAGGCTTTGCCAAGAGCCAGCAGCGCCCGGCTCAGTTGGATCGACGAGCAATTCGGTCAGCGCAAGCAGCTCAGCGGAAGGCAAAAATGCTGGCGGAAATATACCCTACTCCACGAATGGTTCGACGCGTCCATATGAAGCTTCGTCATCTTCTCGGTCTGATTTTAGGGGCAAGACTGTCGGGCACTCGGATTCCTCTCAGCTTGGTGGTCGAGCGACATCTAGCCATACACGACTTGACTCTGGCGTCTCCACCTTGTCTGGAGGTGGAGTGGGTGGGTCAAAGCTGGGCAGAAGGGTGTCTGCTGGTGCTCCTCCCAGCTCGCTGAATGGCGCCTCCGACTCTGCCTCGACCAATGGTCCTCATCTTGGCTCCAAGATCCCACGAGACGATGGAGTCAAAGACGAGCTGAAGACGCTCGAAGAGGCAAAGGAGATGAGGACATTCTTGGATAGGTACGGAGGCGAAAGGTTGAGAACGGTGTTTTGGGAAATGGTCAAAGGCGAGCATCCGGATGCCCTCATGCTGCGCTTCCTGAGAGCGAGGAAATGGGACGTGGATCGTGCTATTGCCGTCATTGGAGCTACTGCAGCCTTTCGAATCGAGTGAGTGGATGCGCAAGCTAAATCTTGCAATCAAAAGACGAAGCCTGACACGTTTCGAGTGGCCTCTGTGCGAAATGTTAGAAACGACGTCGAAGCTCTAGTTCGAGGTGGTGAGCTGGAACTTTGCAAGACCAAAGGCGGACGCAACATCTTCCAAAATGGAATTTCATACGTATATGGCGCATCGTACACTGGCGAACCGGTCTACTTCATCGAAGTCGGCTCCCACTTTTCTCATGCGCAGACCCAATCGGAATTGAAGCGCGCCATCATTCTGCTGCAAGAATGGTTGAGCATGCTGATGCCTCCTCCAGTCGAGCAAAAGGTCGTCGTCTTTAACTTGCGCAACTTTGGACTGAGGAATATGGATTGGTGGACGGTTTTCTTCATGGTCAAGACTATGGAAAGCTACTATGTGGAGAGCTTGGCTAGAGTATACGTTCATTGCCCACCCTGGATCTTCAGACCCATCTGGGCAATCCTGCGCCCACTGCTCGACCCTGTCGTGCGCGACAAGGTCCGTCTTACGAGCACGGTAGAGGAGCTTTCAGATCACATTCCTTGGGATCATTTGCCAAAGGATTCGATGGGCGGCGGGGCAGATTGGGGCTTCAGCTACCCGGTGAGCAAGTAAAACGAGATGGCATTGGGGCCCATGCGGGACTCTTGGACTGATCAAGAAATGTCCCCTCTCCCGTGATCGCTATGCTCGCAGCTGCCCGATTCGCAAGAGAATGATTTGCAGCTCGATACCGAAACGCGCGATCGGTTGCGAGCAGCTTACTCGGAAGTTGCCATGGATTTCGAGCGGTCCACTGCGCGCATCATTCGGCGGTACCAAGCAAAAGCCGCATCTCGCTCTGTTGTCGACGGATTCTCATCAGCCGACGTGTCGGACGAGGATTACGTTGACGATGAAGAAGAAGAAGAAGACAGTAGTGCTAGCTTTGCCGAGGATCTCAAAGCTCAGCGTGATGTTTTGGCGACTCGCTTGCGGGTTGCGTGGCTAAGACTAGCACCCTACGTCGTCGGAAGGAGCAAGTATCACAGATGGGGCGTGGTCAATGATGACGGGATCGTCCGGTGGAATTACCACACGTTAGAAGGCAAGCATGAGGTGCAGACGTGCGGAGAGGGAACCACTCTGGGAGCACTGGAAGCTGGACTGGAGCAAATCGAGGCTGCTCAAAAGCATGCCGATACGACGGCTGTTGTGGAAGAGCCATCCCAATCCAACGGGCGCGCGGTGGAGAATGGTAGACACAGACGTCAGAGGACTGGAGGTACGGGCACTCGAGCTTTGGACGAGGCGCTCGGTCTGGACACGGGAGATGTGGACCTTCAAGATGCTCCGACTGCGCCCGCCACGACTTCTGACCAGACGGATCAGACCTCTTCCACTGCAAGACCTGCCGAGACAGCCTCTGAAGGTAGTCCCGTCTCACCGCTCAAGACCATTTTGACCGATCAGGAGCAGCAGCAGACGGCTCTTGAGACATCCTCCGTCGATGCCGTGGTGCCTGTGCATCCCCTGGAGGCGTCGAGTGACAGCCAGGCATGAGGCTCGACTTGCGCTGCCACCCAGACCTTGTTCTCCTGCACCGCTTTCGCCTCTCCCTTGACCCACCCCCACCAGCACTCTTCCGCCTGCATCGTCTCATTTTCCCGTTGGCGTTCCCGTTATGCTCTGGATCGTCGTTCCTTTGCCATCTCTTGCGTCCCACGTCACCTTTAACCTGCCTCTTGCAAGACATTGATCCAATTCGAGTCTTGATTTGTCAGAGCGCGTGCATACGCGGCGCGCGCTTGTCGGCCTTGCTATCACTGCACGAGCGCTTTTTGGCAAAATTTCACAAGACTCGTTTTGACACGGAGCGCCGCAAGGTGGTATGTTACAAATGCGTAAAGCTTCTAGTAGAGTCTTCCGATCTTCATCTTCATCGCCGTAGTGTTGGGTCTGCGATTCGAAGAGATGCATCTCATCAGCGATACGCAAAAGAAAAATGCTAGGGCGCTGCGAGACCGCAAGCGAGACGAGTCGGATTCACGATTCGACTCACGTGGTAAAGGTGCCGGCACCGGTACGAGTGCCAACGGCTTGTGCTTTGATGCCAAGCGTCGTATTCCAGGCAACGTCGAAGCCAAAAGAGGGCTGCTTAGCCTCGGCACCGAGCAGATGAGCGCAGCTCGTAATGATGATCGTGAGCCTCTGCAGCTCTTGAGCATCGAGCAGAGACAAAGGGTTCGGAGCGGCCGCTTTGTCCTTGTCGATGTTCGCGATGGACCAAGCAGAGGGTGTGCTGGGCCACGCGTGGAAGTACGCTTCGAGCTCCTCAAAAGTCCTAGGCGATGCGCTAGAGCTTGATCTGGGATGTGAAGGTGATGATGGCGCCCTATTCTTCGTTGGTGATCGGGTGATCCTATCTTCTCCTTCAAAGTTGCGCCTCCGCTCATCTCGAGATGCGTCTGCTGCCAAAGATCGTTTCAAGTCTCTGTAGGCTTTCAGGGTCTCCCGAACGTGATGCAAGATGGCGTTCTTCTGCGACTCTGGTAAACGTCCCTTTGTCATAGCCTCTAACCATGGCGCGGTCAAGTCTGCGTCGACTTCCACGGCTGCCTTTTCCTCGAGATCCTGGCGGTATTTGATCTGTATAGCACGGCTCGTCTAATGACAAACAGCAACAAATTGGTCAGTTTCCTGCGCACCGAGCCTTCGTAATCTTGCGCTCACTTTCTCGCCGGCTGCCGCAAGAGTCGAAAGAATGTACGGAGGAAGGTGCGAAGCGCGCTGGGCTTCTCTTCGACCATCATCGGCCGACGTATGCCTGCTGCAAGACTCCATCGCAGCGACTGTCAGCTGTGCCGCATTGGCTTGATCATCCGCGCTTCGACCCACCTGAACCAATCCGGCAATTTGCGATCAAATTCGCGCTTGTCTCGACTCAACACCTCTGGCTTGATCGTCAGACCCGTCTTGCCTCCATCCATGCTGTTGTTGACTAGTATGAGTGCGAGCATTCCAAAGTGTCAGTCGGAGTGGTAACCGCATGACAACGACTTTCTATTCTCTCACACTTGAAAGCAAATTCTTTGGCCTTGTCGCAGTCAGTGCCTTGCTCGTACTGAACGACTTGATGCAAATGACCATACACGCCACGAAAGTCCGGTCTCAGCAGCGAGTCCAAAATGACGTTGCACAATCTGGCATCCCTCGCATCGGTGTCCCTTGCCCCTCGTAGCGTCGACTCGATAAAGTGCGAGACCTTGCGGCTGTCCTTCCTAAAGAATTGCTGTTGCCAAGAGGGATCCGCACACGAAAAGTGCTCAGGTGCGTTCTTAAAGTCGTCGGTCAAGGGACCCCAAAACACCCTGACGAGATCGCCATCGTAATCTCCGCCGCTCAGCATGTCGGCAAGAGGCCGCTGACCCTTCGTACTGAAAATGACGACGTCCGGATACGCCGCCAAGGCTGGATGACTGACGGCTCTGACTTTTTGAATGTCCGTCGGAAGAAGGCATGGGTGACGCGTAACGAGGACATCCATGTCATCGAGCACTCCTACGCGCATGCCGGTGACGGGGTCGGTTGGAGCTTGATCACCAAATCCAAAGTGTATGGTTCCCTCCTCTAGAACGCCCGCAGGGTCGGGAATCACGATCGCTTCTGCGCTTTGCGCGACCGGGACCTGTCAAACAGTGCTCGTCATCTGAGCAAGAGGTGTGTAAAGATGCGCGACGAGCTGCTCTCACCGCAAAGTCACGAATGATGGTCTGCAAAGCCACTTGCAAGACGTCGCGCAGGGCCCTGGCAAGCATAGCACAGCTTGCAGGCTCAAAACCAGAGATGAGCGCATCATAAGCTCTCTGATGGACGCCCAAGCTTCGTGCTCGATAGCATAATTCAGCGGCGCTGTCGTCGCTACTTGCAGAAGGTGCCATCGTGGTGGAGGAAGGCGCGTCATCGTCATCATCGCTCAAATCTTCATCATCCGAGTCTGCACTGAATCTGCTGAGGCCTTTGGCCCTGGCATCGCACGGTGCTGCATGGCGTGCCCGCGCAGCAGTCACACCTCCTAGCATGTCGACCTCTTTAGCTAGACGCTCACGCATCGAATCCGAAGACCCGTTCTCGCTCTGTAAGAGGCAGAGACGGCCGGCGATCGCTTCAAGCTGGGCGGTCTGCAAGTCGACGATGGTCGAGGGACTGACGCCATTGTGTTCCAGCACCAAAATAATCTGTGGAAAGCGGAGAGGCCGACTTCAGCCGATAATGGCGGCTTTCACCATTGCGCCGTCTCACCTGCTTGGAAAGCTTGCTCGGAAGACTCGATCGAGCAGGTGTGACGATATCAAAGGTGTTGTGAGATGGGTCTCGAAGGGATGCCTCTCCCAATTTCAGCTTCACCTGACTGTCTCGGCAAGTGATGGAGAGCGCGCTCGCCGTGGTGCTGGCGACATCGGCATACCACACGCCTTTGGCACCAGCAAATCGGCCTTGAAAAGCTGCAGGGATTGTAGGTAGACCAAGTTCCTGGGCGAGGGCGCACAGAGCACTTCTCGTGATCGAGCCGGCGCCATCCGTCATGACGCTTCCGACATTTCCAGCTTCTGTATTCTCGAGATCCTGTTCGTAGTGGATCTGAGGAATGATGACGCCGGCGACCGTCTTTGAGGTGATGAGCGCTGCTCGACTCAGATACTTGACGAGCAAAGACTCCTCATTGTGCCGCCACTCTCCCATCCAGCTGTACAGCTCCCATATGCACTGTGGATGGTCGGGTGGCAGAGCGGCACCGTCAATGGCAAAGAATAGCACAGCTCCGTCGCGCACTGTGAAAGCGCGATATGTACGACCACATAGGATGATGGGCAGGCAGAGGAAATCTCGCAACGCTCTGGCCTGCTTTGGGTCCCACACACTTTTGGCCGTCTTCTCATCGAAGCGCAGGCGGAGAACGCTAGTGCTGCCGAACCTTCTGGTAACCTGATGGAAGTGGAGTGTCAACATAAAGACTCTATTTTGAGTCCATACCGACTCACCCTTGTGCTCGGGGACAGCTTTGGCGGCGCTAGCCTGACGGAGAAGCGTTCTGAGGCCTCGTTCGCGACTATGCCTCGAAGACAGATGCGGCCCTTCTGTCCCGAGGAACGCTCCTCGTCATACTGCTTGAAAGCGGAGAGAACGCTCTTCGGGAAGGGGCACCCATCCAGGGAGCCTTTCCACAAGAGAGCGCGATTGGCTGGCTGCAGCAACCGCTCAACCGCATCCATGGCAGTCGGCTGCCGCAATTGCTTGAGAAGATCAGACCTCGAAAGTTTGTCCCAGTCAAGCCGCTTCCTCGACACCAGACCGGCTAGGTAGAATTGTATGAGCCACGGGACACCCTGAGGTGAACGGGCATTCGGGTCTAGGCGTCGCTGAAGCAGTCCAGGATCAGCGATGCGATAAGCGGCAGAGCGACCCGAATGTGGGCCGATGGAAGGTGATTGAGTCGGCGAAGAGGTGCGCGCTGTGCCCATCGCATTCACGGTACTTGTTTGAGGCTGCACATCTCTCTTGACCTTCTTTGTGGGTGAAGGGCGATCTTCTGGAATGGGATCATCATCCAGAGCATCGTAGAATTCAGGAGAGGGCCTACGTCGTTGCCAAGTTGATCTCGGTTCATGGTGCTCTAGTCTGCCAAAAATTGGGAGAGGGGCAAGCGGCAGAGGCACAGCTTGCGACATCTGATCGGCACTGCAATCGTCGTTTCCCATACTCCCTCCCGCGACGCCGCTATCCTGACTGCCAGCACCGCAACGTTCGACGGTCGAAGACGACGACAGAGACAAGTCTTCAAGATCTGCGGACGATTGGGCACGAGGCTAGCGTCTCAGTGGGAGGACTCGGACACGAGACTCACTGGTCTTACCCTGGCTAGTATTGGCAGCTAATTCTTGCAGCGCCTCTTGAGCTCGTGCTTTCACGACGTCGCAGAACCGATGCAAGCGAGAGGAGAGTTCGGAATGTTTCTGTTTGGCGTTCTGGCTTGTGTGACTCCTCGAGCTGGCTGGCAAAAAAGGTACTCTAGCTCCTTCGAATCGCACTGGGTGAGGGCTCGCTCGAACACTGGTGGTGTTGGCATAAGCAGGCATTGTGGTGGAGCATGGAGCGGTGGCAGGCAATGGCAGTCCTGCATCGATGTATGCGTCATGCAGCGCAGGCAGGTTCTCGCTGAATAAAAGCTGCGCACGGCGAGACGCTGACCAGCGATTAGCTGCGAGCATGTGCGGTGCACCAGATCCACCATCCACTCACCATGACTTCACTCTCGTGTTGGTCAAGTTTGAGCAGATCACCCGATTCTTCGTCGCAAACGGAACGCAGGTGCTCTAACAGAGACTCAGCGGAGCGCCATTGATCGGAAGCGGTGTGTGGCATTGTTGAGGAGCTTGTCCGATGATGGCAAGAGAAAGGGGAGGAAAGGAAGGATGACTCGTTTGCTGCGGAGTCTCCCTCTGGTGCAATTCGGGTGACGAAATGAGGCCCAGTGGTCTATGAGGCTATGTGGAGGACCATGATGGTCAGTCATGAATGGGTCGTGAGGGGATCATGCCGTTAGAGTCTTGCGCCTTTGCAATATACGCCCCGTTCATGGCCAGCTGCTGTCATCGTGAGATTGGCACACAGGAGCTGCGAATGTTGGGCGCTGCCAAGCAGGTGCTTTTAAATCATGGCAGAGTGGTACGTGATCGAATCGATTGTGATTTTGAGGCTGGGATAGATGTTTGAGGATCCGCGGCGATGGCGGTATATATACGAAGGCATGTAATGGCAATCACGAATCACTCAATGTGGACCACAATTAAGCAAGAGTGCGATCCTGCAGCCAGACGCGTGACGGCCTGCGCTTCTGCTGCTCCGTCTTCACGCGGAGCTCGCGCCCATTTTAGCGCCAAGACAGGAGCAGCAGCAGCAGAGGCTGGGGTGTCGACGTATCATCACTCAGACTCAAGATTGCAGATGGGGTGCACGCATAACAGGGAGCTCTGAGGCACGTATCGACGCCGATCACTCGATCGAGTGTCAAGTCACAGTGATGATGACCCGCCCTTTGGATCAGGCAGAATCACAAATTGCGCTATACGTATAGCGAATTCCATGTGCTGGAGAGAGGGCGTGCATGAAACATGGTGTCTGAAGCAGTTGAGAAACCTTCCTTCTCACACACGATGACTTCGCAAAGTCACACTACGCGGTGTATATATATACTGAGTCAAGTCGTGAGTGATCGACCGCCGCGGCGAATCGCTAGCAAGAGCATATCCTCCAAACCAAGTCAGGGCCACCCATCATCACTCGCGCGTGACTCTTGACTCAGACTCGCGGTGATTGAGTTTTGTTGGATGGCCGTGCGGCGTCGCTCGAGCGCATCTGCTCTACTCTTCTGAACTTTTGCTTCAAGTTTGATGAGTCCGATGAGTCTTCTGCTACATGTAATTGGCCTAGCTCGGCACGAGGTGTATAATTCACGTGATCTCAACGAATCGTGGTGAATGTGATTCACAATTGTGACAGCAACGACGCACGCGCCTCCAGCCCGCGCACGGCGGATGTGGGCGCATTGCAAAGCGTTGCGCTGCGTGGCTGAACGCTGAAGATGATCCACGCGCGCGAGCCTCGATCGAAAGCTCCCGCCCGCATCAGCAGCTCGATCGTCATCACTTTCGACGTTTAGGCTCGTGACTGCATTCGTGATTGCGCTTGACAGCATCAGCGACTTTGGACTGATCAATCACAATACGACCTTTGGATTGCCGACGTCTGGCCTGGCTAGATAGCTGATGCATGTCAGCTCATCCACAAGCTTGGCCGACACGCTCTGTAGCTAGGCGTCATCTCACGCAACCAGTCCATTCTCCGCTCCATCTTCTGTGCTGGGCGCAGGTCTGCTCTTCATTCTCAACGTCCACCTTGCCGACTCGATCGATCTCTCAGGCAGTCGACCCACGTCAATCGAAAAATAGAAGCCAAAGTCGCAAACTTGACCTCCATCCCTTCGGCGCGATGGTATTGACGCAGGATCTGCTGCTGGATCCGTCCATCAGGACGTGGGTTCTGCTGCCCATCTTGGCAGTGATGGTGGAGGTGGGCTTGCTGCGTCACTACATTACTCAGCTGATCGGGAGCAAGCCCAAAGGTACCAAGCCAGAGCTGCTACGAGAACAGTGAGTCGGCACGTCCCAGTGATCCGAAGTGACAAGGCTTTGCTCGGAGGAGATGCGCACCGTCTGACCATGACATTGATGCACTTGCTCTCGAAGACGCATTCTGACGCGAGCTCAAACCACTCGAGCCAACGCCTGGTACCTCTCACCCTCATCGCTCGCAATGAGAAAAGACTGGCTAGCCGAGGTGCTCAGCAACGGCAGCTACGTCAATCCCAAAGAAGAGCCAAAGAAGTCCAGAAATCCAAACGAACCGGAAATGCCAGCGAACCCTTTGAGCAATCCAGATCAGATGGAAGCCATGATGGATCAGCTCAAGAAGAGTATGGTCATGATGGTGCCGCAGACGGTCATCATGGGTTGGATCAATTGGTTCTTTAGCGGATTCGTATTGCGTGAGTCCCGCGATTGGGATGACCGGACATCTGCCCCATCGATGACGCATGATTGTTTGGCGTACGCTGTGCTAATCATGTTGCTTTGCGCGACGCCAGTACGATTGCCATTTCCTCTGACGCTACGCTTCAAGCTGATGCTGCAGCGAGGTATCGACACGCAAGACATGGACGTCTCCTGGGTCAGCTCCATCTCGTGGTACTTTTTGTGCCTCTTTGGTCTCAATGCGGTGTTCAGACTGATTCTTGGCGAGGGTAATGGTGAGTGATGCAAGCCAGTCCACGGGCGATGTACTGCATCAAAGTCACGCTCTGTCCTAACATCTTCAAACCTTGCATGGCCTGTCTGCAGCTGCTGACGGCACGAGGGATTTGGCTGGCATGTCGTCTTTGGGTGTGGGTGCGGGTCCGGCGGCAGGTGCGCCACCCAACCCCTTTGCGGCAGCGACGGGAGGAGCTTCTGCTGGACCCGACTACACGAAGCTTCATGCACAAGAAAAAGAGAATGTGGAACTGATCTCGACGCTTGGTAACAGGTGGCATGGGTCAGGGGTCGAGGAGAGGGTGTTGGCGATGTATGCCTTGTAGAGCAGGAGCTGCAGCGCTGTCGAGTCTCTGTTGAGGCAGACCGCAAGACTCGAATGTAGTGTTCATGGCGGAATGAGGATGGGCATTCCTTTGCAGGCAGCAGTATCGTGATGCGCACCAGCAATCAGATGTGACTGTTGCGTGAGACTGTCACTCTGAATGGTCCACGCGCCTTTGGCAAGATGTGTGAGGCCACATGTGATTCCATGAAGCCCGGCGAGAGGCGGCTTCTCGAGATGGTATTCGAGCAGGCAAGCCGAGAGCGGGCCAGAGAAGGGAGGGAGCGCTGTTGATGGTGCGCTCTGCGGATATCCGCGGATGTGTGCGCAGCTGTGCGGGCACGCGTGCTGTGAGCAGATGCGCGATGATGCGAGTAGGTCCAAGCAGCAGTGTGAGTGCTGTGAAGCACCGTGCGCCGGTCACGAGCCTCTCACCTTCCACACACCATCCCAGCATCCCATCTGGCCGCCCTTTACTCAATTCCCCCGACGACGTAGCAAGCGCTTGAGACAGATTTCTAGTCAGCGCTTGCGTGCCGTTCGTTGCGATCGACGCGTTCCCACAAAGCCTGAACGAGCGATGAAGGGCGCGGGTAGGGGTGCGGGTGCGACGAATACTTGACAATTTCTGCAACCTTCGAGTCGCAACGAGCAGCAATCAGGCGATATCCCATCTGCAATACAGGCTCAAAACCTCCAACGCTTGCGCCTCCAGACCAGACGGGTGCGATTTACACAGAAAGACCGCGAAATGCTTCCCATTCTATTCGTGCTAGCCTTGCGCACAGGCCTCTTTCTATCCTGCCGCGCATTGCTCCTCCCCATCCTGTTCGGAGAAGCTCAGCACGCGTCTCTAGATCCATCCTCGCCCTCCACCGCGAGCGCGCCACCCCACAAACGAAGTCGCACGAATGAGGAATCGTACGCAATGGGTTTGCGGACCGGCGGCGGCGGGCTGCCAAGTCCTGTTAGCAGTCCCAGCGCCCGTAGAGGAGGTCCGAGCGGGGCTGCAAGCGGTGCATTTTCAGCTATTGCCGGGCCTTCGACCAGTGTGAACAACTCATTTAGCTCCATCTCCGACGCTGCCTGTTCGAATTCGGACCTGGCCAATCGTCTTGTGCAAATCTTCAAAAGGTCCTTGTTGCCTGGAACGGGTATTCATGGTCTCACTTCGCTCCTCTTTGCCCTGTCATTTGAAGAGGCTACGATGCTCTTTGCGCTTGTTCTGCTCGAAGCTCTGGATTGGTTACCTCGATCTACCCTCGTGGGCAATTGGAAGTGGAGCCTCATAGCCATCCTTGCCCTCTCCATCGTCATTGTTCGTGAGTCGTCGCCAGCGATGCCCGCAGACACAAGCGACTTGCAGGCTGACCGACATACGCGTAGCGCTGGGTATATGCCTCCTGCTTACATTCAGAGTGGAAGGTGGGTGCTCGATCTCTACCCAATGAGCGCGCATGTACTCACCACTTTGCGACCTTCCTCTTGCGCTAGGCTCCTCATCACAGACTCGTAGAGGTCTGTTCGCCTTTCTTCCATTCTTGGGATGGATTTTGCTCTTTCTTCGCGTACCATTGCCCTCTGCTCTCTCTGGATCATCCTCGGCTGGTCTGCTTGATGCTGCACTGGCAAGGACGGCCGTGCTGGGTGTCAGTCTGATCGCTCTGCTATCCGGCTCCGCGGCCGCTTCGAGCGCCATGGACAGCTGGGACGCTTGGTTCTCCAAGCGCAGACCGTGAGCATAGCCCGCTTGGAAGGCTTGGTGCGCTCTGTGAATGACAGCTCACTCGATTCGTATCTCCTCAGACGACCACCCACAGCGCAGGATGTCAAGACAGCGCAGGACTCTTTTGATCGTGCCAGATCTGACTTGCAGACCAGAAAGGATACGCTGGAGAGTCTGAACAACAGGCCTGCTTCGGAGGAACGGAGCTCAGGCTTCTTTGACAGGTTGTGGGGCGGTAGCGGAAGAGATCGAGGTCAGTCTCTGCTCGATGTCGGATTCACCTTGCGTTACAAAGTTCACTGCACGCATCGTCAAGAGCTGATCAAAATTTCCCTCCTGTCGTACACGTGCAGAGGCTTCATCGTTGCGAGCTGAAATTTCGGGATTGGAAATGCTGGCCAGAGCGATGAGGGATGATTTGGATAGAATCACGAGGTTGAAGAGGGAGGCAGAGTGGTCCAAGACTTTGTGGGGAAGAGTGCTGCTTGGCGTGGGCCACATCTTTAGTGTGTACTGCGTCTGGCGAGTAGGCTTGGTGAGTGCTTCAGATCACCCTTGCATACTTGATCTCTGTTTTTTTGCGTCGGTAGCTGCTGTGCTCAAGCGCAAGCCATCCCCGCTCGTTTGTGTCCAGGCGCTCCTGTCGCTTTTACTACTCGGCTATAGAGATGCTGCACCACCCGACTTCGTTTCGGTAGGTCTGGCCCACCTGGTTCGCTTCTTGGGACCTGGAGCTTCAGAGTCGATAGACTTGGCAATGTGGACCAGACAGATCAGCCTGTTGTTCGTTGGAGCGCTCATCATCGTCAGGATGCGAAGCGTCTTGTCTGGACTTGGCGCTGTGAGTCCGTACCGGGGGCGAGGGCTTCTTCTCTCTGAGGTTCTCGTCGTTGACGAGGCTCTCCTCCATCTCTCTTGCCCTGATACGCAGTTTTTCAGAGCGGCAAGCACAGGCGTCAGCACTGGATTCCTCATTCTCTTCTTGGCAGAAGTGATGGTGAGGTTTGCACAGGCTATGGTGCCCTTTCCGACAAGGAGAGGCGCTAACGATTTGTGTCATTCTTGCCATCGCGCGACGACCAGACGATCTACCTCTTGGCAACCTTGATTCAGCTACGCACTGCTCTGCCTCCTTCATTCTCGGGAGCCACATCGGACCAAGCAAGTCAGACTCAACACCTGCAGCATCCTCCGCTCCTATCGACTCTACCAAGTTTCGCCATCGTCTTTGGTGCCCTGTTCGACGGCGTGAGTGTTCAAATGCGCAGCTGAGCTCAGCGCAGACATGCTGCTGGCCTATCCAGAAGTGCGAATTCGATGCGAAACTTTGACGACTTTCGCTGCCCCTTTACGCCACTCTTTGTATATCCAGGGCTTTTTGATCGCTGCTCTCGTCACCGGACTTTACAGGTGGTTGACTAGAGATACGGAACCGACACTGTTTGGAGCTGGTGGAAGCGCAGGCGCAGGTGGCTTACCGAGATGATCAGCCCTCCCGAATAGATGCATTCCAATCACGAACATGACTTGGGAAGGAACGACTCTTTCTTTCGCATTGCGCCATCACTGTTCGCAAACGCGTGCTGCCGCTATGGTAGCTTCAAGAATGGCTTTCAATTGTTTAGGGTCCTGGCTGAGGAAGACTCCGTAGCCACTCGTCATACGCCCTCGTCCCTCACCATTGTGCCTCAAATGAAGAGCTGTAGCTGCAGCGTTGAGACGATGTGCTGCTCTCCAAGCTCTCCCCTGCTCTAGCATCCACTTCCAAGAAGCCGTGCCAGGCGTCCCTCTTTACGGTCACACATTTCAGGACATTTAAACGCAGCGATGCCGCCTTTGTCCACACTTGCGAGGTCGAAAGTCCGCATCTATTTCGTTTGGGTCGAGGTGACGAATCGAGACAGAGAGATCAAGGAAGACGCGATGTGCAAGAAGCAAGACGTGAAGGGTTACGGCTGAAGAGGGGTCTATCGTCGGGATACGGCTGAAGAGGGGACTATCGTCGGGATACGGCTCACGAGGGGTCTATCGTCGGGCTTGCTGAAGGATGAACAACCAGCAAAGGCTTGGAATTCACTCAAGAGCGGAGAGTGTTGATGAGCTGAGTGCGCTGCTCGGCTGACAATGAAGCCGCGAGCGAGCTGATAGTGTCCAGGGCCACCTGGCTCTTGAGCTGCTTGGCCTTTGCCTCGAACGCTGATACCTGTTCTTCGAGTTGACGGGCGATAGGGCCATCGTCCAAGTCACCAAGACCAATGCCGATGACATCTTCAATGATTCCTTCGATCTGAGCAGGTGAGAGAGCAGCATTCGCGGCTTTGAGGCTGTCGGCGATCGAGTCTTGGAGCAGTCTACGGTGCAGACGGAGGTACTGTAGGGGAGCAGATCGCTGTCAGCAAAGCGCCACACCGAGATCACGCAGCTTGCTCACCATGAAACGACGAAAGTCAGACCAATCCACAACGTCGTTGATAGAGCCGACAATTTTGGCGCGCTGTGGAGTGTCTTGGAGGTCTGCGTTGGGGAACATGTGATGCGCGAGATAAGTAACAGCGTGCATGCGCTAGCACTACGACGACCACTCACCGGCATAGGCCACCGAGACCGAGTGGAAGACGGCCTTGGTCTCTTCGACGCGCTTGGCTAAAGCCTCCTTGTCGCCCTTGGCAGCGAGATTGGCGTAGGCCGGGTCCAAGCGAGCTTGGAGCTTGCGCTGAGCTTCTGCTCGCATCTTGATCTCGACCAGACCAGCAGGCTCCAACACGCCCATACGGGCGCTGGGGTCGGCATACATCTCAATCTTGCCCTGTTGGTTGATTGTGGTTGCAACGACTACAAAGGCACCCCCACGAAGCTCTGCATTGGGTGGTAGGTAGACAAAGACTGGGCGCTTGTACGCTACCAGAGCATCGACAATGAGACTGCCTTGCTTCAGAACTTCGTTGTGCATGTCGCTAAGACCACCGGAGAAGCCTCGCGTATTCGCCAGCATCAGGAGAGGAAGACCTTCGCGGTTAAAGTCTTTGATCGCTTGAGCGGTCTTGTAAGCCGAATTGGGATACCAGACTTGGCCGGCTTCCAGAATGCGCTGCTCGTTCGAATTAGGATTAGCCGGATCGGCGGGAACCACGCGCTCAAGCGTGCGCGTTTCGAACGCCACCACCCCCAGGGGGATACCGCCAAGGCGACCGCGTCCTACAACGACGGATGTGGCCCATCCGCCCAAAGTCTCCTGCCAGGAATCGCGGTCGAGGACACCAGAGACCCACTCCTCGCCCGGCGACTGTGGAGTAGCGCTAGACGAGTGGCCGTTCGTCACGGGTGTTCCTCCATTGATCTCGGACAGTCTCGCACCTGCAAGAAGCCAGCGAGGGTTGTAGGGTGCTGCGGGCGGGGAGTACGTGACAGCGCGATCCCACGGGTCGGCAGGAGAGAGAAGTCTGGGCAAAGCGCTCGATTTGGTCTTTGGAGCAAAGGCAAGCCAGCGGACGGCTTGGTGCATCGCCGCAAGGTCGTCGGCAGCCACCAAGTGCGAGACACCGTTGCGGTACATGATCTGCGGACCACCGAGCTGAAGGTTGCTGGTATAAACTTCGCGGCCGAGGAGCTTGTTGAGTGCAGAGTATCCAGTCAGGATCAGAGGCGAGCCCTCGACTTGGATGACACGCTCTCCAAGACGTGCAAGATAAGCACCAATACCAACACTACGTCCCGTGACGATCGTAGCAGTGAAAATCTCCTGGCAAGCTCGACTGGTCTCGCCAGCGATCAGACCGGACCCGGAGAGACATTCGACACCCTGACCGCGTTGCAAGCCGACAATGTCGGTGAGCACGTGGTGCGTAGTGCCGTCGTCAGCTGTGCGAGGGCTGGTGATGACGCTATCCAAAGCATTCTTTTCGCCCAGCGATGCAAGTGCAGCTTCGTCGAGGTACAAGTATTCGAAGCCCTTTGTCGGGTCGTTTTGCACAAACTTGACCCGGAAAAGGTCCAATGCCTCTGTGGCGAGGCCGATGCGAGCACCGGAGTTGGCAGAGACATATAGGCGCGGAATGCCCACCTCGCGTGCCAGCTGAGATGCAGCAGCGAAGCAGTGGTCCTCTGCTGGACCGAATGATCCCGCTTGAATGGTAACATCGTTGGCGATGAGAACAATTTGACGGCCCTCGGGGTACTCTGGCGTGAGAAGGTCGATCAGCCAAGCGACCATGCCAATGTTGTTGCTACCGGGTGCCCTCTTCACTTGATGCAGCTCGCCGGACTTTTCGTCCAAGACCAGCTCGACCACAGATTGCAGAGGGTCTGATGGCACCTTGCCGACGGGATGCTTGCGCCATTGAGATCGCAGAGCCTGACGCAGGACGTCGACAAGGTCGTATGCAAAGGTGGTCTGCAGTGCGTGTGCACGCGAGCGTCGAGCTTGCAGAGCCACCTTGGTCGTGTATGGCTGATGAGCGCTCTGCATGTGGAGAGAGGCAGGCACAGCAGGGCCTGCGACGTTCTTCAGAAGGACACTTCCGTCGTCGTCGATCACCTCTTCGTAAGCCTCGTATCGCACGACAAATCCGGTTTCGTTGGTGATAAAGGCGCGGATCGGCGTGGTGGATCCGTTTGCGTTCTTCATGACGAATCGCAGCTCGGCTCCGGTGATCCGAAGGCGGAAGAAGCGGGTACCGTGACGCTCAATGAATCCTGAGAGCGCTTGTTGAATGTCGGTCAAGGTGATTTCGAGAGGATAGATGAAGCTCATGAAAATGTGGGAAGCATCCGCAGTCCGATATTCTGGCTTGCCGAGCGCAACTTCCAGCACATTCAAAATGTCGTTGACGATGCGGTCTGAAGCAGACACGAGGTAATCGGCGAGACTGCCAGTCTGCACGCGACCAGGGCGGACCAAGGAGCGCACAAAGAAGCGAGCGTCGGTCGGATTCGCAATGCCGCGTGCGTAGTAGAGATGAATGGTCGAAGAAGTGATGGGTACCGACGTGATCTCGAAATTTGTGGTCAGCCGATCAAGCTCGAGCTGATATGCGAGAGCAGGCTCTATGTTTCGGATGGTCGTCTCTTCCTTCCACTCGCCGCTGGCTTGGTCCGGTCGCAACGTTGTGTACCAAGGATACGAGCCAGGCTGGCAGTGAAGGAAGGTCACACGGCGCACACCTGCACTCCTGAGCTGAGCTGCGAAGCGATTGGCGAGGGAGGCGAAAGCAGTTCTAGCTTCTTCATCCTTGGTGTCGGGCTCGTCAGTGACGGCAACGTTCAAGACGTGCACCGGCTCGCCGCTGACTTCCTTGGGCAGATATTTGAGGATTTTTGGAAAGACATCGCGGAGATCGTGGAGAGAGGCGCAGCTAGTCATGACACCGGTGCGAAGGACTTGGCGACTGCCAGTCATACTTTTGGCAGCCGCCGCAAGATCGCCAGCAGATGCCTGACGCTCATGAGGATGATCGGCATGATCCGGCAATTGAAACTGCCAGCTGAGGACTGCACGCTGCTCGACGTCAAATTCTTCGACAGCATAGGCGAACTTGACGACGTCGTACGCGCGGTAAGCACGAAGAACGTAGGTGACCAACGCAGCAAAGGCGATAGGAGTTTCCACGTTGGGGCCGCCAAAGAAGGAGTGAAGGACGTCGTACACAGTGTACTGACTGTCCGTTAGCTCGCGAAGTAGAGGGACCTGAGGTTCGTGGTAGTCCTGACTGTCAGTCCCGTAAACGACCGATTGGACGGATCCTTGAAGAATACTCTGCATTTGTCGCATCCTCTCTTCGAGACTGGGCTGGTCTCGCGACATGGCTACTTCGCGCGCTTTGAGAGCGACCGGAGCAGTAGACTTGCCCTGGAGTGCCGCTAAGCGATGAAGGACGTCTATGACTTTGTCTGCAGCAGCGGTACCAGACTTGGCATATGCAAAGCCCTTTCCGTACTGCTGCAAGATGGCAAGCAGTAGCGAGTTCTTGGCAGCGATACCATTGTGCGAGATCTGCATTGCCACGACCTTCTCCAAGTCGCCTTCCGCTTCTTGACGAAGTGTCAGCACCACGTCGGACTCGCCGGCGAAGCGAGTCTCGACGTCGAGATATTGCTCTAGCAGCGATGCAAGGATAGCGGATGCATAGCCTTGCGGACCACCAGAGAGAGCTTCGAGCACGACGGTGATCGGAGTTAGGGAACGTGCAACTTGCACAGCAGCTGCAGGGTCAACGCTATCCCTAACAAAGCTGTCGCTGATTTTGCGCAGACGCGCTGCTGGGAACTCCGAGCCACGCGCGTGAGCCGTCTCGATTGTGCTTCTGAAGAGTTCTTCAAGCTTTGCAGGAATGCGTCCAGACAGGGTCGAGAGGATCTGGTTGACCTGACCATAAGGAAGCTGATTATCGCTCAGGTTCTCGAGGAGCTCGATAAGAGCAGGCTGCCAGTGACGGTCATAGCCCGCCAAGACGTCGTTCAGAATGGACAAGTTGAAGTCGAAGCGCTGGTGAGGCTTGGCACCAACAACGACTGGCAGATCAAAGTCAGGAAGTCGACCAGTGTACGGTGTGGCTTGGACTACGCGGGATGGATCATCGAGGGTCAAGATGCCGAGAAGCTCGCCTGGTGCAACGGTAATTCCAGGAGCTCGAAGCCACGTGATCAATCCGTCTTCTGCAGCCGTGATGGGCATGAGCATCTTCATGATCTCTAGCTCGCACAGAGGCTGGCCAGCTTTGACGTGGGTGCCGGAGGGTGCCAGAATGGAGACGAGCTTGCCTGGAGAAGGACTCTTGAGCTGACTGGGATCTTCCTCGTTCTCGATGAGCGCAGTCTTCTGGTTGATCATGACTCGGAGTGCCGCAGCATCTTGCTGCCAGTAGACGGTGTGACTCTTGCCACCTAGTTTCATCAACACACCTCCGTCAGACAGGGGCTGCAAATCGACGAGCACGCGTTGACCGCGTAGGAAGAGCGAGTAGGAGTTCTTGCCCGCACGACTGCCGGCCCAAGAGTACTTTTCGCCAGCGTAAACAAATTCTGTGCTAAAAAACGTCTTGATGGTGTCCTTTGGAGGCACTTGACCTTTCGAGAGGATGGCGCTGTATGCCAGCTCACATTCTCGAGAGGCGAGGTAGAACTTGACGGCGGCAGCAGCAACAACTGCGACTGCTTGCGGGGGCTTCTCGGCGCTGAAGCGCTCCTTGATCAGAGAGTCCAGCCATCCGGTGGTAAAGTGGTTCTTTGTGAACTCTGCGGTCTCGAGGAGTCGCAGCAGGAACTCGTTTGTGTTTTTAAATTCTCCACGAATGTTGAGATCTTTGAGAGCGAGAATCATCTGATTCCTGGCATCTGATCTATCTGTACCAAATGCGAAAATGTGACCGAACTGAGAGTCGGCAAACTCGTGAAGACCACCGGCACCGCCAATGGAAAAGTATCCCCAGCAGTTTCCGGACCCCTTGAAGTTGATTTCACTGACCGTGCCCATGCTGGGTCTGAAGCCTTCGGATGCATCTTCTGCGGTGATACGACAGGCGACAACGTGACCTCTAGGCTGTGGCTTGCGTTGAGTCTTGAAGCTTTCAGGATCACTGAATTCGAAGTCGATCGGTTCCGCACCACGAGGGTCCATGCCGTACAGCGTTCGAATGTCCCGGATGCGGTACAGTGGAATACCCATAGCCACTTGCAGCTGGGCGGCTGGGATATTGACGCCAGAGACCATTTCGGTTGTGGGATGCTCGACTTGCAAACGCGGGTTGAGCTCCAAGAAGCTAAACTCGCCGCTGTCGGGCGAGTAGAGCCACTCGACTGTGCCTGCTGAGACGTAGCCGACCAGCTTCGCGAGCCGCACTGCCGCCTTCTCCATAGAGTCGCGAGCAGCCTCTGGCGCAATGGTGACGGGTGCTTCTTCGATGATCTTTTGGTGGCGCCGCTGGACACTGCAGTCACGGCCAAATATACTGATGGCATTGCCATACTGATCAGCCATGAGCTGCACCTCTAGGTGTCTCGCTTTACCAGCGAGTTTCATCACAAAGACGGGCGAGCCTGGGACCTCTCCTAGCACTGCATTGTAAAGCTGCTTGAAGGTATCGGCGTCGCTGCACATACGGATACCTGTGAGCGCGACGCAGCAATCAGTGGAAATGCTCGAACGCTTAGATTGAAAAATTGACGCACCTTTTCCACCACCTCCTTCGCTGGCTTTGATCATGACAGGAAACCCGATCTTTTGCGCTTTCTCGAGACCTTCCTCGGCGGTGTGTATGCATGCCCTTTGGTACGTTTCGTCGGAAACGGTGAGGAAGCCTTGCTCGCTCATGATGGTCTCCTTGACGCCAGTACCCGACCAAGGCATGCAGGGCACATCAGCGTGCTGTGCGACGATGGTTGAGCTGATCTTGTCACCAAGACTGCGCATCGCGGAGCCTGGAGGACCGATGAAGATGATCTTCTGGCTCGATGCTCGCAATGCTTCAGGCAATCGCGGATTCTCAGATGCGTGGCCCCTATACGTTGGGTCGGAGATGAGCTTCCTGGTCTGCACGATCTGCCGCATGCAAACTCACCAGCCAGCCCAAACGGCGTGAACGTGCATGCGCTCAGCAATATCGACGATCAGATCGACGTTGGCGTAGTTGTTGTTGTTGGAGCCGCCAGGCACTTCGACGTACTGGTCCGCCATACGGATGTAGTCTGCGTTGATCTTGAGATCTTCAGGCGTCGCCATGACTGTGAATTCGATGGCACGCTCATTTCCAAAGGTCTCGTATGCCCACTTTCTGATGGAACGGAGCTCTTTGACAGCAGCGATACCATTGTTGCAGATGAGCACCTTTGTGATCACAGTGTGCCCTTCGTGCTTGCGGATAAAGTCTGGGACAGCGCCTGCGGGCGCTTGATCGAGAGCATTTCCACCTGAGGGAGTTGACAGGATAGGAATCAGTATCGCAGCGCCTGCCAGCTCGGCAAGTGCAGGCTTGCGCACAGGAGTACCGGACTCACCCACAAAGTGGAGAACGCTAGAGTGGTCTGCGACGGGCATGATGTGCAAGGAGTCTTTCGTGATGCATGCGCTCACCGAACCTGGGTAGGATGTTTTACGTGATGGCCAAGGTTGACGTGCCCAGCGGACCTGAGAGATCAACCCTTTTGTAAAGCATAGGCGGGGAGTCAAGTCGATGCTGAGACCGTGCCTGTCGGACGTCCAGTGAGTGAGTGAGAGTGATGGTGATTGAAGGGAGGGGAGTGGTCGAGACAACCGTTACGCATCAGATGGAGAGTGCGCTCGATTGGGGTTGCTGCTCCCATACACATCAGATGGAGAGTGCGCTCGCTTACACACTCACCAATGAGTTGGGGAAAGGGCGTGCAGGGATCGCGTACGTCGTCCCGCATCAGCAGCTCGCAAACTTTCATTCGAAGGCACGGTTCGCAGTCTTGAGCGCTGTAAATGAGCTGGCTGAAATGGCAAAGGAGCGCAGCAAGAGGTGCGCGCCCACGTTGATTCATGAAGTTGTCTTGGAAGGCGGTGTGCACCCTTTGCGCGCTTTCCGCATGGGTCAACAGCAGATGATGGGGATGGGTCCGCGGGGAAACGGAGTTGCCCTTCGCATGCCCGCGGCACTACGTCAGTTCGTTCGCTGCTGCAGCTCAAATCATGCATATGAGGTGGCGCTGATGCCTCGCGTCGGAGCTTGATGGGTATCCGCGTGCAGCCAAAGTCTCACAGGTCCCCCACCAATTTTATCAGCAGTGCTGCGTGATGAGTTCAAGGTCCCAACGCGCCCGCGGCCTCACCCACGCTTGGGCTGGGGCGAAGCTCTGTCGTACGAGAACGCCGCGCGCGCTCCCCGCCGTCGAACCATGCGCCATGCTGCGTATACGAAGAATGTTCCGCACAACCCCAAAACCGTTTTGCGGCTCGAGCGCGTAACGCGTGCCGCTCGATCGCTCGTCTCAACATTTGCTCGCTGCTGACCCAACCTTTCATTCGGGAAAGGTCATACCGAGCCTTCGCCGTATGTCAAGCTTACAGCGTGACCAAATCGAGAGCTTTCCATAGCGTGACAATTTGATGTCTGATCTACCGGCCGGAGAGGGATCCAGATCATTCTCGAGCGAAAACGATTGGTGATTGATGGGCAAAGTGATTAGGCTCCCCTGCATGGCGCCCTCTCCGCGCGCCTGGCTTCACTTCGTCGCCGCCCACGCGACGCGTTGAGCTTTGCGCGAGAAGGCGCCTCCACTAGCTCAGTCAGCCCTTCACCACACGTCTGACCTTCGTCGGGGTCTTCGCTCGCCGATTGACCTGCATTCATCATCTGGCTACACTCTCACACAGGTACCAGCAGAGCGCTCACCAGAGGCAGCCTCCCTGTATCGCAACCAGCGACACTCGATCGCATAAGGGCTCCTAGAGATCAGCATACATCTCTCCAAAGGATACTGAGCCTCTGGTCCCGGCTGTTCGCTCTTCTCGCTCTTCAAGCATGGCGGCGCCCAATGCAGGATCCGGCTCAAAAGTCTTCTATAAGCGGCCTGTCATCAAAGACTCGGATTCGAGCGATGACGAAAGTCCTCTGGTGAGTTTAGGGGTCCATCATCACAGGGCAAAAAGACGAACTCACCTCGAACCATTTCGCTGCAGTCCAAGCGTCCCAAAGTAGTCACCTCGAATGGACAAAGACCCTCCATTGGCGCCTCGAAGGGTGCAAATGGCAAGCGTGGATCCCAGTCTTCCGATGACGACATCCCACTGGCTTCCAGCTCGACCTCTACCAAGCGGCCGCCACCCGGATCTGACTCGGACTCTGACGCGCCTTTGGATGGCCGGTCCAAGCCCAAGCATCCTGCCCTGGTCAAGGTAATCAAGCAGGAGAACGGCAGCAGTGCACCATCAAGCCAGGCCTCATCTGCAAGTGAGCAGGGGGACGAGGATGACGACGACGAGGATGAGGAGGAGGAGGAGGACGACGAAGAAGATGACGACGACGACGATGATGGCGCATCGGCGAGCTCGCAAAAGACGTCTAAACGTGGCAAGAGCTCTCAGAAAGGACCAGAGGGTAAAGGCGCCAAAAAGTGGTCCAGGCTGTATCACACAGGCCCGCGCTTTCCAGCACCCTACGAGCCCCTACCTTCGCACATTAAGCTCAAGTATGATGGGCGGCCTGTCGGGCTCAAGCCAGCTGCGGAAGAAGCTGCTTTCTTCTATGCTGTCAAGCTTGAGACGCAGCATGCTCGCGACGCAGTCTTCAACAAGAACTTTTTTGCTGATTTCTGCAAGCTTCTCAAACAGCATCCGCCGGTCAGTACGTGCCCGTTTGTATATCGAGTCCGATTGCGCTGCTTACCTGTCAACCCTCTCACAGACGGATGGGACGCATATCAAGAGCTTCGACAAGCTGGATTTCAGAGACATGTACGAGCACTGGAGAGGTATCAAGGATGCGGAAGCTGATGCCAAAAAGAACAAGGCGCCTTCAGAGCGCAAGATGGAGCTGGAGGCAAAGAAGGCAGCAGAGGCGGCCATGAAGACGTGCGTGGTGGATGGCGTCGAGCAGCGCGTTGGCAATGTCATGGTCGAGCCGCCTGCATTGTTCCTTGGCCGTGGCGAGCACCCAAAGAAAGGGCGCATCAAGGTGAGTGTGCTGCCCTGAATGCATTTGTTCCGACGACCTTGCTGACGAGGTATGTCACCGTGCAACAGCAACGTGTCTTGCCCGAGCAGATTACCATCAATCACACATTGAAGGATCCAGCGCACCCGCCCCCTTCTCCTCCCGCAGGACACAAATGGAAGGCGGTCAAAGAGGACAAGAAATCCACTTGGCTTGCCTTTTGGAAGGAGAACATCAACGGGCAGTACAAGTACATGTACCTGGACGCTGCCAGCAAGTTCAAAAGCAATTCTGATAGGGACAAGTTTGAGAAGGCCCGGGCACTCGATGTGAGTAGTGGTGTGATGAGCGTCGGGCCTCGCTCACACGACTTTGTGGCCTACAGAAATGCATCGTGAAGCTCAGGCGGCAGATCGATCAGCGACTCACTTCCAAGCAAAGGTTCGAGCGGCAGCTTGGCACTGTCGTCTGGCTCATCGATAACTACAGTCTTCGTGCTGGCAATGAGAAAGGCGAAGATGAGGCGGCTACGTATGGAGTATGCTCACTGCTGGTCGAGCATGTGAAAGGCCTGCAAGAGGGAGTCGATCTGCCAGATGGCACCTCCACCTCTCAAGTCAAGCTCGAATTCCTGGGCAAAGACTCCATGGCTTTCAAGGAGACATTGACCGTACCGACGCGCATCTTTAAGAATTTCAAGATGTTCACGCAATCGACCAGGTTGCCAAATGGCGAGGTCGGGCTGAAAGCGGCTTCGGATGAGATCTTTGACAAAGTCGACGTGAGTGGCCCTGGTAGACTGCGTCGAAGCAAAGAGACTGACCCGCACTCGCGCTCGCCGACAGCCCTCTGCTGTCAATAAATTCCTTCAGAACGAGTCGAATGGAGGAATGAAGGGCCTGTCTGCCAAGGTCTTTCGTACCTACAACGCATCCACAACCTTCCAAGGCCTGCTGGATCAGACTGCAGAAAATTTGAAGGAAGCTGGACTTCAGGCGAACCCGCAAACCTTGCGTGATCAGTACAACACCGCCAACCGCTTGGTTGCCATTCTGTGCAACCATCAAAAGACGGTCAATCCTGTCATGAGCGAGAAGACAGCAGCTCGCCATGAGGAGAAGGTGAGTCGGTAGATGACGTGGGGCAGTCCGTATGGGCAAACTAACCAAGTGTCGCGTTGGTGAAAAGATGATCGGTGTGCGGTACGATCGCTTCAAGGAACGCCAAAAACTCTTGACCTGGGGTACCGCTGCCGAGATTAAAAAGGCTTTCCCTGCCAGCGAACATCCTTGGGCCAAGAAGTTGAAGACCATTCTAGAGGCCGTCGACATCACCACTGAGCAGATTAAAGAGCACGAGGAACGCATCTTTACTGTGAAAAAGGACAGGCTGCAAGCTAATTTCCACCGCGCTGAGCTGGAAAGGGAATTTCAGGCCAAGCTGAAAAGAGAGGGGAAAAGCGAAGCTGAGGCAGCTGCAGCGACCGCCGAAAAGAACAAAAAGGCAAAGGGGCGCAAGAGCAAGAAGCTAGATGACTCGGAAGACGAGGATGACAAGGCCAACTACGGCAAGTTCAAGACGCAAGCAGAGGTTGATGCTGAGAAGCGTAGTCTCGACGCAGAGCTGAAAGAGCTGTCTAGGGAAAGATCCAAGAACAAGAGTCGACTGGCTGCCGATAAGATCAACGTCACCTCTGTGGCCAAGAAGATCTTGGCAAAGGTCGCACAAGCTGAAAAGCTAGAGGCTGATTTCGCGACACGCAACAAGACTTCTGACGTCTCCCTAGGCACGTCCAAGTTGAACTACATTGTGAGTAGGATGCAAAGCTATGAAAGCACACCAGCTGACTTGAGAACGAGGCGCTTCAGGACCCCCGAATCACTGTTGCTTGGCTCAAGAAGTGGGACGCGATCCTTGTCAAACGGGACGGAGATCCGAAAGCGATCAAGAAGGGTGCAGCCTCTCCGAGCAAAAAGGGTGGGCGCGGCAGTGTAAAGGCGAAGAAGGAAGAGAGCGATGGTGAAGACGTCAAGCCGGCAAAGAAGGCCAAGGGTGCAGTCAAGAGCAAGCCGAAAGGCAAGGCGTTGAAGGAGGATGAGGACGATGATGATGACAGGAAGCCCAAAAAGGAGGCGGAAAAGATGGAGCTGGATCTCAGAATCATGTCGATAAGCAACTACTTTCCGCAAACCATGCTCAAAAAATTCCGTTGGGCACAATTCGACGACGATGGCACCGAGCTTCCGGCCAGCTGGACCTTTGTGGAAAACGCGCCGCTAAAGATTCGCACGAATAGTGAGTGCGCACGCGGATCTTCGTTTGAAATTAGCTGACATGCTCTCCTGTCTCGGTGTGTAGTGTCGAGCGCCAACCGCGACGGGGATGATGCAGCAGACTCGGCAGATGGAGCGCTCGCTGCAAAGGTATCCGCACAGACGTCTGCCGCCCGAGCCAAAGGTGCTAGCAATGGCAGCGCCGCAAAGCCTGCTTCTGCCAAAGCAACGCCGCGCTCTCGAACCGTTTCTGCTTCGAAAGCTCGGGTGAATAGCGACTCTGACGACGACGACGCTCCTCTAGCCGCGAAATCCAAGGCGAACACTTTGCGCGAGGATGATAGCAGCGACGATGATGCGCCGCTCGTCGCCCGTCGATGATCCCATGCACAGATGAAACTCTTTCGCCTCAACGCATGATCTTCCAACGTCCCCCTTCTCGTCCTCTACCCTGCTTGCAATGAACGCCCCAGCACTGTCGACTACGCCACATCACCCACCACTGTTTTTCACGCCAAAAAGATCCTCCTCGCTCGACACAATTCATATTATGGAGCAGAAACGTCTGGAAATTGATCCAGCATCGATGCCGCTGGCTGACGATAGCGAAGCGCCAACAGTGGCGTATGTTCAAGACATTGAGGTGACGACAGAGGGGGGCGATGGGTGACCTGTTCTCGCGCATCGCTTGGACGCAATGCGCACGCATCCTCTTGGCGCCTTTCAGATGACAAGCTCTGACTCCAATTGGAAGCGATCCAGCTCCTCCATCTCTTGAATCCTCCTCTTGCGAGTTTGAGTTCTGGGTGTGTCCTGCAGTGCGAGGCCGCGAGCGCACCGAAATGAGCTTCTTTTTTTTTCCGTGACGCGAGTGTTCGCAACGCGTTACGACCGTCTGCAACTCACTTGATGTTCGTCTCCTGCTCCATCGGACGCAGGTGCAGAGGCGTCACGAACGTCACCATGAGCCGAACCTTTTTGGCTTCGCCTGCCTCGTCGTCCGGAAGATGCACGCGTGCCGACTGATGGAGACTCTGCTCGAACCTTCTTCTGCTTCTTGCCAGACTGGACTTTTCCTGCTGCAGTCGTCCCCGCCTTGCGCCTCCTTTTCAAGACCTCAGAATCTTCGCCGCTGAGCTGAGACGCCCCGCTTCCACTCTCGACAAGATCGACTTTGCATCTTGCATCCTTCTTCGTCGCTCGAGTACGGCTTCTCGAATTTGTACGAGTGGAGGCTTTGCTTTTGCGCTTCGTAGCGCCGCCTAGGCTAGATCGCGCTTGGTGAGAACTCTTCCCTCCTCTAGGTAAAAGTCCCACCAGATCATCCAATGTCATACGATCCGATTCTCCTTGTGCCGAACCAGTCTCGCTGTCCGCGTCTTTGATCGAGCTGCTCGAGGTTGATGAAAAGGCGATCACTTCATCTTGCGCGCTCGGCAGCGAATTCTCGGAGACCGTTGCAGACATTGAGGGTGGGGCTATCAGAGCTCTTGAAGTAGCTACTTTGCGTCTAGTGGATCTGCGAACAGGAGCTGCAGAAATCTCTGCCTCTTCCACGCCGCCATCTTCCATCGACTGCTCGCCCATGCGCGTCGTCGTGCTCTGAAGCAGGGTTGTGGAAGCGTCAGGCAGCGAAGAATCCGAGGAGCCGATGGAGTTGCTCGCGGAGAATGCACCCCGTTGCGCTCGCTTCAGCTGGCTCGAGCTTGCACTCCCATTCCGAGTCTCCTGGTTCCTTGCATCCTCTGCACCTGTCTTGCTGGTCTGCTGAGAGGATGCGTTGTCGATCTCGTTCTCCTCCTGCGTTTCCTTCCCGGACGCCCGTCTTGCTTCAGCTCTCCTTGCCTTGAGGTTTTCTTCAGCCTGTTCGAAACCGAATGGATCGTCCAGGTCGATGGACTCATCTTCGAGCCTTACTATAGGCGGCGCGACCTGCCCAGCTCGTGGAATAGCACCCTTCGGTAAAGGTTCCGATCTGATCTGTGCCTCGAGAGAACGGGCCGCGTCGCTGAAAGGAGTGCTTGCTGGCAAAGCACCTCCAGATGATGGGGACGCAAACATTCGAGCCACGTTTTCCCTTGTCGAGCTAGCTTCAGGTCTTTCTCTTCTGAGCTTGTAGAATGCACCTTCGGTGTCGTTTGCAGGAATGAGGGGAGATCTGACCGTGGTCCTGCGGCTCGGATCAAAATTTTTAAACGTCGCTATGTTTGGCAAAGGTAGGCGAGAAAGCTGCTGCGCGTGCGTGCTCAAACCCGCCGGTTGATCAGCTATGACTCCGAGATTGAGACCTTCTCTCTCGCACTCCCGAGAGCCGAGCCTGTGCGCGTCGAGTATGGACAAAGTACTCGGACGCGGCTCTAAGGGGAGCGCCACAAGCGGCGTTCGGACCCTCGCATCTTGCCTGGCCCGCTGCTCAGAAGTTCGAGCAGCAATGGGCGTCGAATGCTGTTGCTCTTCCATTTTTCCAAATGAGGAGGAAGCGCTCGAGCCCGAGTGTTCTTGGTCTCGAGTCGGATGCCCTGCCTTGCCTCTCTGACAGACGTGAGCGAGTGGCACATTCTCCTTGTCCGAGGTGGAATGCGCACTCGACCCAGAGCTGGACAAGACTGCTCTCATCGTGTCCTCTCCTTGCTGACGGTGTGACTCATCGTCGCCTGCACGCTCCGCCGCCGCCTGCTCGATCACTTCAGACACCAAAGTCTTACCAGACGCTGCCCTTTTCGCCTTTTGTCTCAGCCTTTCGGCTACCTTGGCCCGCCGTGACTCGCTCGTGAAGCTTGTCGAGGACGGCACAGTGTGTTGCTCTTTGGTTGCAATGGGTGACGCTGCTCGAGCCATGGAGGAGGGGCTGCGATGCGGCTTGGTGGAGGTGGATGTACGATCATCCTTCCGGTCGACCTCCGAGTCTGCCGGCCTGAGGGCTTTGGGTACCCTTTGGCTTTCTGTGCTGACCGCGCGCGTCGCAACTACAGCTCTTCCAGACCGCGTGCGCCTGGGGGACGTGACCGTCAGCTCAGAAAGCGTTCTGGGAGTTCCGGCGCGAGTACTGCGTGATGGTAGTTCGCCCTCTTTCACCTCGGACCTCTTGGAAACTTTTGTAAAAGTTGCTATGCTGCTGTTCTGCGTTCGGCGCGTGCTGGGACCTTGAATGTCCACCAGCACGCGGGCCTTGCCACTGCGTGCTGCAGGCATCGACGCGTTGCTTTGCTGAGCGTTGAAGATGCGGTTGAGGGGCGGGTGCGATTCGCCGAACCAAAGGTGTTCCTACTTGGCACCTCTTGATACTACTTGATCGCTACGGTTGATTCAAGATTCGTGATTGCTTGCATACGTGTGTGCGGTGTGCATTTGCAACATGGAGAGACGGACGCGCGTGCATGACGATCAGGTGTTGCGTTTCCATTCAATTCTCTCGCGGCGCGGATGATCACGTGATCGTCCATGTGAATTGCGGTAGGCTCCACATCTTGCATCTCATGGACGAGTGAGCACTGCCCGATGCACCTACCTTCTTCTCCTCAACGCTCGAGCCATTCCTACCAGCATCGTGAGACGACGCATTCGTGTTTGAGCATGGCGGACTCATCTTCACACCCACGTGAGCGCGGCGGCCCTCGAGATGGGAGTGGAAGAGAAGCCGAGCTGCGAGCCGCTTTGAAAGCTTCGAGAAGCAGCCGCTCAGAAGGAGATCGACTCGCAGATGCACACAGACATGATAGCTCCACAGGTGAAGATCAAAGACGTCACCGCTCACGATCTCGGAGCAGAAGCAGGGTCGATTCGCGCGAGCTGGAGCGCAATCATGAGCGAAGAGATCGGTCGAGACGAGATCGGCATGCGGATGACCGAAGCGGGCGTGAAGAGGAAAGGCGTCGTCGCGAAAGGCATCGAGATGATGGAGAAAGGCACACTGAGCGGGACAGCAAAGAAGCTGGGTCGCACGATCGGAGAGAGCGAGAAAACCGACGGCGACACGATGACGAGTCCGATCGACATTCCCGTCACCACAAGAGGAGACACCATTCGCGGTCTCGTTCGCGGTCTCGTTCGCCCATAAGCAGCAGGAAGCGTCGCAGTCCTAGCAACGACTCGCGAAGCTCGGACAGTGGCTCTTCTGCCTCGCAGTCGTCACGATCTAGGAGAGGAGGAGGGCACAAGAGTCGCGATCACGGTGATAGAGATGAGCGAGAGCGGAGAGAGCGAAGAGATAGAAGGCGAAGGAAAGAAGAGAAGAAGGAGAGAAGAGAGAGGAAAGAGAAGAAGAAGCGCCAGAAGGAGGTGAGCTGACACGCTTCGGCTGACACCCAGCACCTCACAGTTCCTGACTTTTTTGCCGTCGGCTTCAAAGGCAGCGAAATCGGGCGAAGTCATCGAGTGGGGCAAGCATGGGATCATCTCGGAGACAGAGTGAGATACGCTTTCGTATCAGCAGGTGCTAGAGTCTGCTCCTGAATGTGACATTCCTTTCGCAGCGTGATCGGTCGACTCACCGGCGAGTACCGCCAGTGGTTGGTCGAAGAGAGGCATATCAATCCGTGAGTCTGAACAAAGCAGCACTCGAGATTTTCCCCCCATCCGGAAGCACATGCGTCCATGCTGACCGCGAAACGTCACACCGCATCGCTGCCCTGACAAATGACAGGGAGACAATCTCAAAGCCAGTGGAAAAGAAGGAGATTGCTCGGTTCATCGAATCCTACAATACCGCGACCATGCCAGATCCCAAGTATTACGATCTCGAGGTGCGTACACATGCATTGCTCACGTAGTCTTCGAATTTTACTCATCTTGTACTCCTGCTATGGGACTTTACTCTGCTTGTACACCCTGCACAGAAACACGAACGACACATGTCCATGATACGTTCGGGCGAAACGCTGCCAGTCGGTGGATACGACTTTCTCTCCGACGAAAAGGCCGCCTCGGCATCAGCAGCAGCGCGCAGGAAGGAGGAAGAAGCAAAGAGGAATACGAGCAGGGATGCGTGGCAAAGCAAGGAACAGTTGGAAGAGCTGCGAAGGATCCAGAATGAGCGAATTCAGGCGGGCAAGATGAAACAGCTGTGAGTCTCGTGCAGCAACGAAACGCGATGTGAAGCTTCCTCGCATTCCGCACATTTCGCTGACGTTGGCCGTTGCTCGCTCTCAGCGGCTTGGAAACGTCAGCAAACATGGGCGTTCGCATGGAAGGCCGTTTGCCTGGCCGCAAATGATCACACACGAGTCTACGTAGGGCATACTCGGCTGCGAAAGCCTTCTAATGACGTGTCAAAGACGCGTGGGAACGATGACGAAATGCAATTTCACAGATCGAATGCGTAGCGTGGTGAGGTCAAAGACAGGTAAATGTAGGAGTGGAGGCGAGGTCGTGTTCCCCGAAAGCGTCTATGGCGGTAATGCGCATGCGACGGGGCCCTCGGTGCGCTAAGCGTAGCAACGACGGGCTTAGTAGCTTCGCTTGAAAGGCGGCACAGCTTTGCACTCGTTCTCATCCAGGGTGGTGCTGACAACTTCGCGGTAGTTCAGCCTGACGTTGTCATCCGCGTCGGCCTGCCAAGACAGACTGTGCTTCATCCAGTTGACATCGTCTCTCTCCTCAAAGTCCATTCTAGCGTGTGCACCACGACTCTCCTTGCGAGCAGCAGCCGAAACGACCGTCTGCTCTGCGCAAGTGAGCATGTTTTGCAGTTCCAGACCTTCGACCAAGTCAGTGTTCCAGATCATGCTCCTGTCTGAAACCTTGATGTCGTGCCACTTCTTGTGAGCGTCCCTCATCTTTCTCACTCCCTCGTCGAGGCTGCCTTGCTCACGGAAGACGGCAGCGTCGCTCTGCATCGTCTTTTGCATCTCCAATCGCAAGTTGGCAACTGGAAGCTTGCCGTTCGAGTTTCTCACCCAGTCGAGATTGTTGATGGAGAAAGCTCCAGTGTTCTCGGCCAAAGGCTTGTGAGGCTTGCCGGGTTGCAAGTTTTCTTTGATGTGGTTGGCGCAGGCTCTGCCAAAGACGACAATGTCGAGCAAAGAGTTGGCACCGAGACGGTTTGCGCCGTGAACGGACACGCAGGCGGCCTCTCCTGCAGCGTACAGGCCAGGAACCACCTCATCCTTTCCATCAGCGGTTTGACGCAGCACCTCTCCGGTGTACTTGGTGGGAATGCCACCCATGCTATGCACGGGAAACAATTTTTGAGCTGATCAGCCTTTGGTGGCACGCCGCTCCACGTCACACATACTCACTTGTAGTGCACAGTCGGCAGCACGGGAATGGGCTCCTTCGTCACGTCGACACCCGCGAAAATGCTGGCCGTCTCGCTGATGCCGGGCAGACGCTCGTGGAGGACTTCAGGCGGCAAGTGAGAGAGTTGGAGGTAGATGTGGTCCTTGTCCGGTCCAACACCACGGCCCTCGCGAATCTCGATGGTCATGGAGCGAGAGACGACATCACGAGAGGCCAAGTCCTTTGCTGTTGGCGCGTAACGCTCCATGAAGCGTTCACCTTCCGAGTTGAGCAAGTATCCTCCCTCTCCACGGGAGCCTTCCGTGATCAAGCAGCCAGCGCCGTAAATTCCGGTAGGGTGGAATTGGACGAATTCGAGATCTTGGAGGGGCAGACCAGCGCGCGACACCATGGCCATACCATCACCTGTGCAGGTGTGGGCAGAGGTGGCAGAAAAGTACGCCTTTCCGTATCCGCCCGTCGCAAGGACAGTCTTGTGTGAGCGGAAGCGGTGCAGAGTACCATCCTCCATGTTCAGGGCCAGAACACCGACGCATTCGCCCTGCTCGTTCATGATGAGGTCAAGAGCAAAGTATTCGATGAAAAAGTTGGTGTTGTGGCGCAAAGACTGTCCATAAAGGGTGTGGAGCATGGCGTGCCCGGTTCGATCAGCGGCAGCAGCGCATCTGTATGCTTGACCACCCTTGCCGTATTTGAGAGATTGACCACCAAAGGCACGTTGGTAGATTTTACCCTCCTTGGTACGAGAGAATGGAAGACCGTAATTCTCGAGCTCGATGACGGTTCGTGGTGCTTCGCGACACATGTAGTGGATGGCATCTTGATCACCCAGCCAGTCACTGCCCTTGACAGTGTCGTACATGTGCCACCTCCAATCATCCTCCGTCACTGCGTGCAGATCGGAGTTCCTGCGTCAGAGGCTGTCATTGGTGAGCGTGCGTGCGTGAACTCACTGTTGCCAAGAGCAGCGTTGATACCACCCTGCGCTGCGACTGTGTGTGATCGAGTGGGGAACAATTTGGTGATGCAAGCAGTGTTGAGACCGCCCTCTGCGAGACCGAAAGCAGCACGCAGACCGGATCCACCAGCTCCGACAACAATGGCATCGTACCTGTGAGTTGCAAAGACTTTAGCGGGGCGTACAGAGCGAAGCGAGTTCTCGGGTCACCGAAAAAAGCCACGTCGCGAGACTCACTCGTGGTCAATGACGGGATAGCCCTTGGCAGCATCGAGAGGGGTAGCAGCCTCCTTGGCGCGCAAAGGAGAGCTAGCAATGATCTTGCTGGCAGAAGCCGTAGCGGAGAAGAATCTGGGTCTGGAAGCAGCAGCCGCAAGGGAGCTGCTGCTGCTGGCCGAAGCCGTAGCCGCGGCTGAGCGAATGAGGGAGCGTGCTGGGAGAAGCATCTTGCCGTGTGGTGTGCGTAGGAGTGGTCGTCGCTTGATTTGATGTTCGACACAAGGCCACTTGCAGATAGAGCGAGCGAGTCTCGAAGCACCTAAGAGCTAAGGGTGCGTTGCGCCCTTCTGTCTGTCGTTGCTATGCGCGCGCGGCCTCGCGGTGCGGGGAACCTGCTCATCATCCCGCGCGTCTGCTTAGGCAAGCCATTCGCCGTGCGCGCGGGCGCGGGCGCGGGCGCGGGCGTGGCCATGCACGACGGCTTCGTCGCGCTCAAAAACGTTGAGCCGAGAGATCCGCGGCCGCGTGAGGCGCACGGCCTGGGCCGGGTGTTCGTCAGCAACCGCTTCTCATTCGCTGGCCGCGTGCAAGCGCAACACAGAGTTCCGGCAGGCAGGCAGCGGGCGCGTCCGCTAGCTACGCCGGCGCACAAGCTTGCAGCGCACGTGGCAAGTTGAATGCATTTGACATCCGAGCCTTCCAGCTCGTTGAGCTCAGACAGGCGCGCGTGCAAGCCCGGGGGCGGGCGCGCGGGCTTCTCAGAAGTCACAGCAGCAGGACGCTCACTCGTCGGCTTGCTAGCGGGTCTTCTTGCTAATCAACGCCTCACTCAACCACATCGCTGCTGCTTCAACCCACAGAGAGGCCGACGCCACGAAGCTGAAG